ATTCATCAAGCGTCGGTGTTGCATATCCTTCTCTTCTAATCGCCTTGTTTGCTGCGCGCATATCTACACAGACACGTACTTTACCAGGTGATTTCGGTTTGGGAACAACTACAATGGGAGACACCCAGGGCGTAGGACCTGTAGCTTTCCCTATGACACCCTGTTCCTCATCCTTTTTAATCTGTTCCTCTATGTGTTTCCTGACGTGGAACGGAATGCGTCTACAACGCTGTGCTACGGGGTGTATGTTGTCGTCGATGTGAAGTTTTATCTCACCTTGCTTCAAACAACCAAGGCCATGGAAAATATAAGAAAATTCATTGTTCAGTTTGTTATGCTTGGAATGAATGTGATCACAGCTCTTTATTAATTGCAATTGTTGGGACGTATGCCAACTGAGAATAGGTTTCTCTCTGCCAGCGACCACACAAAACTGCGTCACAGCTAATTGCTCCAACCTGTAAGTGAGACGTGAATTTTCCCAACACATGAACTGAATTGTTTTCACTGCCGTAGGCCCTGATTTTAGTACTTGAAATATGTAACGTTGGTCTTGGTTGCAATTTATTGTACTCAAATTCAGAAATCAAATTTACAGTAGAGCCTGAATCAGCTAGAAAAAATTATTTTCCTACCGTTCATCTCTATTTCAAAATGTGGGACTTGGTCCATGTTCTCGGTCACTGCATGTGCTGCGAAGACATATCCATCCTCATCAGATCCTGTGCATTCGTTCTCATTTTCAGTCACATCAGAATTTCCACGTAGACAATTCACATTGTTCTGACGGTGATGAGACACGCGTTTAGGTTTTACGGCGTAGCGCTTGTTAGATGTAGCTGAAGATGATAGTTGCTGGCCCGATCTGCACATCGATGCGAAATGATGAAACCGTTTACAAGAGAAACATTCCTTGTTGAAGGCCGGACACTTCGACCGTCACCCACATGTGGCCATTCTCCTCCACAATTACGGCATTGAGAAAATGCTTGACTACCTGTCGAACTCCTAACTTGCACCCTGTTAGCCGCAGGTTCATCCATGCGCTGTGTATGTGAAGTGACAAGTTGTTCTGTACGCGCATACTGCAAAAGTTGTGATAATGTCATGGACGGGTTACTTAAGCCCTTCTGCCGGCCTTTCTGAGATTTACATCCCATAATCAATTGTGATTTTATCTCTGATTCTAAGTCATAAAAGCTGCACAATTTACCAATATATTGAAGCTCTCTATAAAATCCTTCAATGTCCTCTCCTTTCTGCGTAGCGTGTCGAAATGAAACTTTATTCAATTCAACGTTGATGGAAGGTGAAAAATAGTCAGTGATAGCATCAACACATTTCTTAAATTCGTCTTCTCCTTCGCCGAGGGTTAGTTGAAATGTGCTGAAAGATTCGACGATGTCATTTAACTCGTCGCCGGCGAAAGATAGCATGAGTGCCTTCTTCTTTTTCGGACTTGTTATACCATAACCAACAAATACATTGTTTTTCAATCTGTTTATCCATTTTCTCCATCTAATGGCAACGCCTTCTGACTTACAGTCAAATTCATGATAAGTCGGTATCTGTATAGATGGGCCATTGTCGCCATTGTGACTGTTCAACGCATGGTATATTGACTTACACTGCGCTCATTCAATTTCGCTATAGTCAATGTTTATATGTGTTCTTACTTGTTACTTTCCTCCCTTGTGAGACTGTTCCATCCTTGTCGCCAGATATGGTATTGTAACAACAATTTGTATAAAAGATTAAAATATTTATTACAGAATTAAAAGTCCATGTCTCACATGCCACGTCGCATCCGCACTTCCCGCTTCACACTCATGACCTCTGACCTACACCACGTGCCTTATTACATCATTACATCACAGTGTGTAGGTCCTGTCGGATAATCTTGCTTGCAGTTTTAACAACGTTGGTTAGTTTATTTCTTTCCTTCCCAGTTGTTTCGCTGTACCATATTATAATTCCGGACGCCAGGACGCTTTCAATTACACACCTGACCTGTAAAATTAACTAAGATAGGCACGCTATTAGTAAAAATTCTCAATGATCTTAAAAATACAGTCTTGGACGTGCCTTCATTACACCCTTCGCGGTGTAATCTTTCCAATTCAATTTACTATTCAGGGCCCGGTTGCACCAACCGGTCGTAAGTGAGGCGTAGCAGTTGCGCCGGTGTAAACCGGGCGCAAAATGCTACGCCCGAGAAAAGCCAGTTGCACCAAACTGGAATAGTGTTTACGTCGGTCTTAACTTAGTCGTAAATTTACGCCTGCTAGCTAGGTGGAGTAAGTCGGTCGTAGCTCGTTTTCCACTATGGCTAGGCTGGCACAGAGAGTTTGATGACAATTATCGTAGTAAACGTAGATTATGTGGGTTGTTATTTGTTTGTTTCACAAAACTTCCGTCTGTATAGCTTGGTTTTTAAAAAACTAATTATATATGTAACCGAGTGTTTTTGTATTTTATAGCATGGCAACAAAGTTGATTAGTCATAAGACAACTACTAGTACTTACGCTGTAACAACAAGATAGCGCTTGTATTCTCTTATATAATGTTATCTTTTATAATGAATAACTCTGAATATGATACATTATAAGTAAATACTAACCCAGAGACAAATTAGGAAAAAAAGCACACAACACACGTGTCTCTTCGTCTCTCCACACACAGTGCGTCACACACCGCGTGACTTCCGGAGTTACCGGAAGTTACATATATTCATGAGTGTCTTATCACTTGTCATATTCTCCCCTCCTTATTGTTTTGTCGTCCCAGACAAAATGATTGTTACAGTAATTACTTATAAAAAGTTTGCATAAGCTTGTCTTAAACTATATATACCATAATCAAAACAACAATAAACCATTATATATAATAACTACTATTTACATGACACCAGTATCTCACTCAATTATAACTATTCTTTACTCTCTTTAATCAAATACTTAAACCAAAGCTTACATCATTTAAGTTATCAGAGACATCCAATGTACATTAACATAGTAAGTATAATGCATCTTACAAGAACTCTCTCTCTACTTAAACCTTAGCCTACACAACATACTTGACCCTCCTCATACTGGAGTCTTATACTTAAATACACTTAAACTATTAACTAAGTAATCACTATCCTAATACTGGAGTATTATTACTTTGTAAAAAATAACTACAACTATACCAGCTTAGGTGTCCTGAAAAATACCTAAGCATAATTACACATGTACTTAAGTTTTTCTCAACATTAATACAGGTAGTAAAAACAATTTTTGAGTCTCTACTAAATCCTGTAATGAATCAGATCCTTCTGATTTTTATTCTCAGTACCCTGAAAATATAACTGTCCACCAGTCTGAGTAGATATTGTTTTACACTCTACAGATTGCTCCACACAAACACTTTTAGGCAATTTATTGATATTTGAATGCTTTCTTGCTGTTCTTCGCGTACTTCTCCTTAATACAGCTATTTCATTACGAAGCTGATCCAATGACATGTTACTTAAATCCATTTCAGCATTTTGGTCACATTCCTGTACATTTGGTTCAGGATTTGATTTTCTTAACACATGAACTTCATATTCCTCATTTTCATCACTTTCATCAGAATCTGAATCATTTTTGTTCACACGTTGCACATTTTGACATGACTGACCAGTCTCAACTTTACTGCTTTCCTCCCTCTGGACCCTATCTAAGACTAACTCACGAGCATCCATCAATGCGTCACGGTGAATTGTTCTCTCAGGCCCTGTTCCATTGACACGTTTCACTTTGTACACTCTTCCCTCAGTATCCACACAGTCTACAACAATACATGGCTCTGCTTCCCACTTGTCTTGAATTTTATTCCTTCCCATAATATGGACATTTTTCATAAAAACCTGGCTTCCAATCACCAAAGGTCTGCTATTTGCTTTCACTTTGCTTCTTTCATGGCGTTTAGTAGCTTCATTTTCTGTATATTTCAAAGCTGTTCGGTATGCTTCCCGCAGGCGTTTCTGGTGACCATGGTAAAAATCCAGTCATTCACTTCTTCCCCTGCTGTCTTCCCTCCTGGAATACTTGATTTTAAAAGAAAATCAATTGGCAATCTTGGCTCTCTCCCGAACATTAAAAATAGGGAGAATACTTCGTAGTTGTATGAGGGGTACAGTTATATGAGTATACTAATTCTGGTAAATACTCTGGCCAACGTTTTTTCTGTTCTTGTTGTAGAGTTCTTAAACGGTCGTGTAATGTTCTATTAAAGCGCTCAGCATGAGAATTTCCCTGAGGATGATACGGTGTTGTTCTAACATCGTGAAATCTATAGCTAACACTTCTAAGGGACGCTTTGCAATTATTGAACCCAAAGACGTTTTCACACTCTTTCCTTTGGCAACTACACGACGCTGACAATTATCACAATAGTCTTTCACTTCTTTTCCCATGCAAGGCCAAAAACAACGAGATTCCAATATTTGTAAAGTTTATCACTCGACTGATGACCCATATTATCATGTACTGCTTTCAAAACAACAGTTTTTAAAAATTCTGGTAACNTTCATAAAGATCTTCCTATGGTTAAAATACACCTGGACTAGTGGATAGGCTGTACTTAATACTGGTATTTATATACAGAGTTCATAAAGATCTTCCTATGGTTAAAATACACCTGGACTAGTGGATAGGCTGTACTTAATACTGGTATTTATATACAGGGTTCATAAAGATCTTCCTATGGTTAAAATACAGCTGGACTAGTGGATAGGCTGTACTTAATACTGGTATTTATATAGAGGGTTCATAAAGATCTTCCTATGGTTAAAGGGGCCGTAGCGATAGTCCGAAGGTTCAATAGTCCGAAGGTTCATTGGTCCGAAGGTTCACTATAGAACCTTCGGACCAATGAACCCTTGATTAAAAAATCGATGAAAATGTTACCACTTTTCGGACCAATGAACCTTCGGACCAATGAACCTTCGGACTATCGAGACGCCCCCTGGTTAAAATACACCTGGACTAGTGGATAGGCTGTACTTAATACTGGTATTTAAACCTTGAGGTGTCCACAGCTAGTACCTTACAGGGTTCATAAAAGACGGGTGATAGACGCCAACAGTCACGTGCTGCCGTCACGGTGTAAACCAGGTCAATAGGTTAGGAATCTTACACGGGGTTATATATGATCTGTTTTACAAAAAATTTGATTCGGTAATGTGAGTACAGAATGGACTGGAGACACTTGGCTTGTCATTTAAACGCGCATGTCATTCATACTTTATCTTGTGTCGATCTCTAGATGTTCACCGTCCTCTGGAGAGAGGCTACCTCAGCAACGACTGCTCACTGCCGGAAATCCAGCGCATCAAAACCGCTCTCACGGAGGGTCACGCTAGAGTACCCGACCTCAAGATTTACGCCCTGTATGCTGTAAGCGACCTTCCAGTCTCGGAGCAGTTTCTGGTGAAGTTTGTTGTGTGGTATAACGACATATGTGCAGGTGAGATAGACGGGTATATCACTAACAGGTGTCTGTTTGATGAGTATCGCCTCATTTTCTTTCTATGTGATATCTGCGTGTTGTGTCCATACGCCATTGATCAGTCCGGTAGTATGAGCATGTATTGTACTACGTAGAAATGAGTATATTTGTTATGTAAAACCAGTGGCGAAAACCTTTCGTACGAATTGTGGATCGATCTATCTCTATTCATTAGGGGGATTTTCGCTAAATTGCAATTAACTTAAGCGGCTTAGATGTTTGTCACCCCCTACTGAAGCTGCTGGGAGGTAATTGATTATCCTTTAAGTAGCTTCAGTAGGCGTGTCAGCCATCTAAGCCGCTTTAGTTGATTGCAATTTAGGGAAAAAACCCCTTGGAGATAGATCGATCCTGTTACATCAATCTAGCTATGGGAAACAAGTCTTAATTAAGTACCAAAAAATTTTGGGGGCCCTCAGCGGGCCCCGCGCCCCACGCCAAGGCAGGGGGAGTAGGTCAGTTTCGCATCCGAGACCTGTCAGACCCCTCCCCTTTCAAATAACCCTGTATCCACCCCTGTACAACTGCAGTACCCAGTGGCAATATCACATTAAAAGAATAATCTGAATGTTTAAGATACAAAGAATTAAGACATCCGAGACCTCAATTTTTTTCTACGGTTTTTCAGCGAGCGCAGCAGAGAGGTTTGACGGAATTGCCGTGAACAATGAGGCTTTCTCAAAAATCAAATGTGGGAAGGAGAAGCCAATCAAGACATATCTGGATAACTTGATGGCTGTCAAGGTAAAAACATTTATATCAACACCAAACCAAACTCCTTTCTACATAATGTTTTTCTCTTTTAATGAAAAATGTTATGTGTTCTAGGACATTCTGAAGGACTTCTCAAAAACAGTTCTCGAACTGTTACATTCTTTACAGAACAACATTAGAAGTGTAAAAAAATACATCAAATGTTCTAGAATAGATTGAGAACCGTAAGTGACCGTTAAATGAGACAAATTTTCGCAGGGGATCAGAGAATCCATGTCGCGTATAAGACTTGAATTGTCATTGGTGGCATTTCAGAAAGAGGCCAAGAAGCAAGCCAATGGCGTGCTTAAGACGCATTATTCCATTGGCTGGCACTGGGGACTACAGTGTACCACTGGCCCAGCGACATCGAGGCTGATCAGCTGGGGCGGCAAGAGGGCAAAGGTCACTACCCACATGATTGACATATTTGACAGCGTGGACGCCCAGGTTAATGACCTCACTAGTTTGTCACTATGCGACAAAATCTGGCGACAGTAACGTCCGTTAGTTATGGCGATGGAATACGTAAAAAAATTTAAAACTTAACCATCTAAAACAAGTTTACAGATTCAATAATTTGGGATGTGGTTTTGGATATGGTATATCATCGTGTTTAAAAGTAAACGAAATACGCTGAAATTTACAGAAAATTTAATGTTGTCCTATAAATGCGTGTTGTACTGGTACGCCATTAAAGTATAGCTGAAACTGCGTGTATTCAGGTGGCGTATACTCGTACAAGCCAAGTGGTGGAGAGAAGCAAATGGGCCGATTACGACTATGCAGTGACTGTAGGCAAACCTTTCTATACCACCATCTACACCAACAAGGTATGTGTCACAGGCCCAGTCCTAATCTAGTCCTATGCCTTAGAGGCCCAGACCCCATCCTAATTATATTGGAACTGCGTGTATTTAGGTGGCGTATATAATACTACGACTATGCAGTGACTGTAGGCAAACCTTTCTATACCACCATCTACACCAACAAGGTATATATCAAAGTACAACACAATGAGTACTGTTTTGGTTAATTATGAAATTAGAAATTGAATACAGTTTAGTTTTTCCGTGCTGCTATACCTACGCGTACGCGCTCCTGTAGTCGAACAACTAATATTGTGCGTTAGGAAAATAGTAATTCTGCACAGCGAAAATTTTGTTCAAGAAGGCGTCTAACACCCCATTTCCATAGATTTTTAGATCGATCTATCCCTGTGGGGAGTCTCACTAGATTACTGTCAGCTTGGCCGGCTTAAGCGTCTGTCCCGCCTACTAAAAGCTCTAAGGGGGTAATTAACTATGGTGTCCGCTCGGCTGACTGCAATTTAGCCTGAACCCCCAGGGAGTGAGATCGATCTAAAACTTAATCTTTAGATCGATCTAAATCTCTGGGAAAGCACCCTTAGTTCAAGGATCTACTGTGCACGTACCTCTGATCTCTAAAGAACTTCAAGAATCAAACATTCATTCTTGCACAGTGTCAAAGTTCACAATAGAACTTATTTACACCACCTTTGTTGCAATTTAACCGGTTTTTGGAATAATGAGATATATATTTCAGTTAATGTGTACTATTTAAAACATTTTATCCTCACATATATATCTAATATGTAAAGCTTTAACCTTTTGGTTGATTTTAATCCTACCCCTAGCCCCACCCGTGATAGAAATGTTTTCCAGGGTGTTTTTATTTATTAGCCAACATAAAGAGGAGTTTTGTAGGCGACTATGAAAACATAGTTGATCAATTCCTTCCAGGGGACAGCCTGTCAGACGACCTACTTCCCTCAGTCTTGTCCCTGGGGAGAGAAGACGGAGGCTGCCATGTTTTCTCTCTTTGACTCCTATCCGAAAGACATTGAGCATGCGCGACCTTGCATTCATTACTTCCGGGGCATCTACTCCAGCGGTGGGCATTCTGATTGGCCAGCTCACAAACAATCACGCGACGTGCTGGTGGGATAAAGGTCATGCTTCCCTGGTTGGGCGAAATACACCACAATATCCAAGTTTGAACATTTTCACAGAGACACTTACAGACCAGATCAGTGTAACATTTTATTGTAAAATAAATTCATGAATAAATAATTAAATATTCAGAATATATGAGAATTTCAAAGGTAGTTGATTAAAAGGCACTAAAAGTATCTGTCTACTACATTGTTGTAATGCATGTCGCGCGTGTACCATAGTAGGCCTACAAGTACCCTGTAGTAAACGTGATTACAGACAGTTTTTTAGTCATGTGCATGAATATCAAAATACTCAAGATGTTTTCTAAAATACAAGCAGTGGCCTTTACTATACTGCTTATAAAACGCACGCTGGAAATCCCTTATCTTGACTGTGAGTTTTACTTTCATTTTGTTCCTTTGCGTTGCGGGTTTTAGGACCCACGTAGTTCTAGACAGTTATCAACAGCAGCAAAACACATCCTGGCTATGTCCCATGGGACTCCAAGCCAATGTATTTGGCTGTATATGCGTGAGAAATGACGTCAGCAATGCAGACAAGGGAGTGAAAACGAAACAAGATCAGAAGAGGCAACGACACGTGTGACAAGATAATCCATGTTTTAAAAGAGTAAAATTCTATTTGCACGTGGTTTGCGATCTCATTTCGTAGACCGAACGAGTTCAAAGCCCACAGGCAAAAGTTGCAGCAGAGCAAGAAGACTAGCCCCTGCCGACCAGGTCTTTTCTCCCTGTGTTCCCTCAGTGTGGCTCGTCTTGGCAGAAATGACGTCACGAGGAACAGTGACTGGATGATGGCCTGTGTGCTAGTACAGAAAGCGTCTGCTGTGGTTAAGGCTGCCTCCATGCCGGCGGTTGACAGACCCGCTATAATGGTCAGCATGCAGTAGGTGAGGAGACCCAGCGTGGCGATCCCCAGCAGAGCTTTATCCATCGACTGCTGATGCTGCTGCCCCCTAGAGGGCACGTGGCGCCGCGGGTCACGCCCAAGACGGCCCATTTCTTTGAGATTATCTGTCTTTTTCATCAAGCCCTTTATCTGAATATGAGTGGCGATCGTGACTAAGATACTGAGGGCGTTGATGAAGATTTTTGTACCAAAGAGATGTGAGTTGGCCAGGTCTGGACTTTTACCGTTATACATGAGATATAGGAACACAATGATGACAGCCACTGATGCCAGGATAACCAACATTCCTACAAACAGCCCGCAGTGGTTGTTGACGTACGTATGCTCTCTCTCCTCAGACCAGTTAGGCTCAAACACTGTGGTAGCTATCGACCTCTCTGATGCCACAGACCGTATAGACGACACGTGCTTATTCCTGTTAAAACCAACGAACGCGCTGCCATTACTAACCGGCTCTTCAGGGGTGTGGACACCTCCCTGGATGTCATAGCCACGCGCAGGGTGACCGGCCTCCGGGCCCAGCTCGCTTGAACCGATATTGAAGTGAACCTTTTCAGTTGTGGCGAGAGGTGACTCCGGCTCGGGATTCTCGTTGAGGTTCTTAATGAGCGGCAAGCTCTTGGGGCGAGGTATGCTCCCGGCCCCCGTCTCCGGGTCTGTGCTGGACTCCTTCGGGTTCTCGCAGTTTCCCGTGCTTTCGTCCGAGAACGACTCTTCCTGGATCTGAGGTAGTACGATGGAGAAACACTTTCTCTGGTGCTCCATCTTTGCCAAAGACGAAGACTTCTTAAAATTGCCACGGTTGCCATAGAAACTTACACTGCGCGGAACATCTTGGCGTTGGTGCAGACCAAATTTGCGTCTGTTTTGTATTTTGACCTGAAAAAAGGAGAAAAAGTATATAGTTGTTTATACCAAACACCTAAACGTTGAACTTAAAAACTTTAATTACATGTCGGTCAGTGTATTTTAACATAGATACTAGTACATAGAGTTAGCCGTACCTTAGTTAAGATCAAGAACACGGTGGTGGTGGGTGTATTTTAACATAGATACTAGTACATAGAGTTAGCCGTACCTTACTCCAGATCAAGAACA